ATTTCTGTCTGAGTTATGGGTTTGTTTATGTTTTCTATGTCTTCATGGCTCAGATAGGTTGTGTGTGTCCAGGAATCTATCCATTTCTTCTAGGTTTCCCAGTTTGTTGGTATATAGCTGTTTGTAGTAATTTCTGATGATTTTATTTATTTCTGTGATGTCTGTTGTTACATTTCCTTTTTCATCTCCAATTTTATTGATTTGGGTCTCTCTCCTTTTTTTGGTTAGTTGGGCCAATGGTATGTCAGTTGTGTTTATTTTTTCAAAAAGCAGCTCTTTGTTTTGCTCATCATTTGTATTGTTTTTATTCAATTTTGTTGATTTCTTCTCTAATTTTAATTATTTATTTTCTTCTATTAGTTTTGCGTTTGGTTTGCTGTTAGATCCTTGAGATGCATTGATAGCTCATTTATTTGGTGCCTTTACAATTTCTTGATGTAGGCACTTATTGCTATAAACTTTCCTCTTAACCCTGCTTTTGCTGTGTCCCCTAAGTTTTGATTTGTTGTGTTGTCATCTTCATTTGTTTCAAGAAAGTTTGTTATTTCTGTTTTGATTTCTTCTATGGCCCACTGTTCATTCAGGAGCATGTCGTTCCATCTCCATGTGTTTGCATATGCTCTAGAGATTCCTGAGTTGCTGATTTCTGGCTTCATTCCATTGTGGTCTGAGAAGATGCACGGTCTGATTTTGATTTTTTTGAATTTGCTAAGACTTGCTTTATGGCCTAGTATATGGTCAGTCCTAGAGAAAGTTCTATGCACTGCTGAGAAAAATGTATATTCTGCAACTGTAGGATGAAAAGTTCTGTAGATATCTGTTAGGTCCATTTGGTCTGTAGTGTTGATTAAATCTGCTGTTTCCTTGTTGGTTTTCTATCTGGTTGATCTGTCCATTGCTGAAAGTGAATTATTATTTTTTTAACTTTTATTTAATATAAATTTCCAAAGTACAGCTTATGGATTACAGTGGCTTCCCCCTCCCCATAACTTCCCTCCCACCCGCAACTCTCCCCTCTCCCACTCCCTCTCCCATTCCATTTGCATCAAGATTCATTTTCAATTATCTTTATATACAGAAGATTAATTTAGTATATATTAAGTAAAGATTTCAATAGTTTGCACCCACACAGAAACACAAAGTGAAAAATACTGTTTGAGTACTAGTTATAGCATTTATTCACATTGTACAACACATTAAGGACAGAGATCTTACATGAGGAGTAAGTGCACAGTGACTCCTGTTGTTGACTTAACAAACTGACACTCTTGTTTATGGCGTCAGTAATCACCCTAGGCTCTTGTCATGAGTTGCCAAGGTTATGGAAGCCTTTTGAGTTCGCTGGCTCCAATCTTATTTAGACAAAGTCATAGTTAAAGTGGAAGTTCTCTCCTCCCTTGAGAGAAAGGTACCTCCTTCTTTGATGGCCCATTCTGAAAGTGGATTATTGAAGTCCCCCAATACTATTGTATTGGAGTCTACATCTCCCTTTAAATCTCTTAACCTTTCTTTTAAATAGTCAGGTGCCCTGTAATAAGGTGCATATACATTTATAATAGTTACATCTTCCTGTTGAATTGAGCCCTTAATCGTTATTTAGTGCCCTTCTTTGTCTCTTAACAGTTTTTGTGTTAAGTCTATCTTGTCTGATATTAAGATGGCTACACCAGCTCTGTTTTGGTTTCTGTTGGCATGGAATATCTTTTTCTATCTTTTCACTTTCAGTCTGCATGCATCTTTGTTGGTAGATGTGTTTCTTATAGGCAGAAAATAGGTTTTGTTTTTTAATCCATTCAGCAAATCTGTGCCTTTTAACTGGAGATTTGAGGCCATTTACATTCAGTGTGACTATTGATAAGTAATGACTTTGCCCCACCATTTTCCAAAGATATTCCTAATTTATACTTGGAATTTCCTTTGATCTTTTACTGAGAGATTTTCTTCCTTTATCTTCTTTCATATTGATGCTCATGTTTCTGTATTTTTGTGTGCAACACATCCTTAAGCATCTTTTGCAGGGCTGGATGGGTGGTGATAAATTCTTTCAATTTCTGTTTGTTATGGAAGATCTTTATTTCACCTTCATTCACAAATGAGAACTTTTCAGGGTACAATATTCTGGGATGACAGTTTTTTTTTCTCTTAGGACTTGGACTATATCTTGTCATTCTTTTCAGGCCTGCAGGGTTTCTGGTAAGTCTGCCATGAGTCTAATTGGAGATCTTCTGAAAGTAACCTGGAACTTCTCTTGCACATTTTAGAATCTTCTCTTTATGTTTCACTGTGGTGAATTTGATTACAGTGTGTCGTGGCAAGAATCTTTTCTGGTTATGTTTATTGGGAGTTCTGTGTGCTTCCTGTACTTGGATGTCCCTTTCTTTCTCCCAGCCTGGGAAGTTTTCTGCTAATATTTCATTAAAAAGGCCTTCTAATCCTTTCTCTTTCTCCATGCCTTCATGGGAGAAATTTTCTTTCACGTCCTGCATGGATTTCCGTACTTTGTGTGTTTGCTTTTGTTTACTTCTGCGTAATCTTATGATCAATATTTTGAGTTCCATTTCTTGCATTTCTTTTATCTCATCATCTTCACAATCTAGTATTGAAGTGTCATGGTCTTTTGGGAGCGTCATGTTAGCGACCATTGGGCTGCTTTGCAAGTTTTCAGATCAGTGTCAGAGAACAACCTCTTGCTACAACTTTGCTTTGGCACCTAGTGATTTTCAGTATCTTGGTAGTCTCTGAGGGAGTACAAAGCTTATATGCTGTATATATTATGTGAAATTTCTTACTCCTTTTTCATGGATTTGGATTTCATCATGTTCTTACTGATTCTTAATTATTTACTTATCTTCTGTGACATGCCTATATATTCTTCCAAGTATCTAGCTAGCACTGTGGCTGCTGTCAGCCTTCTTCCTTTGAATGTTGCTAATTTTTCATGACAGATAAGTATCTTAATTTTTTCTAACTTATTTTCTTTTCTCTACGCTTGATATAGGAGAAAAGATTTTGGCTTAAATTCAGTTCATTATCTTGATACTGCCAAAGCTGGATCTTTAGAAAGGAATAATTGATACCACTCCAGATTTCCAACATAAGGAATAGGGTGAAACAGGACATGATGCAGGTGTTAAGCTTTCATTTTACAAAGAGAAAGAGGGTAATGAGAAACTGCCGTCAGGGTGCTTTAAGTGATACCATTCATCAAAAAAATGTGTTCTTTAGACAGACACAGATAGGCATTAAAATATAAGAGTTTAAGGATATGAAGATTATAAGTGATTTTTACTGGTTTATGAGAGTGTGCTTTCTCTATTTTTTTGTAATGAATTATTTTATGATTTTCATAATCGGGAAGGGAATTTGGAAAGAAGACCAGCTAATAAACAGATTATATGATGTGTTTATCTTTTAATACGAATTTCTGGTTGTAAAATGTAAATTGGGTGTGAAAATATATATTTGTGTGGATGTATATCTTAAAAATCTTAATTCTGTCTTAGGTAGACTCATTTAGATTAAAAGACTTTTAACATCAGGTGGCAAATTAGATAGCTGGCTTTTTAAAAGTTTTTTATCTTACATATAAGTCAAGAAATTTGAGCATATAGATGCATGATTAAACTCTCATGATATTAAGTTGAAATGCTGATGCAGGATAATTTTGTTGAAAGGAAATAGTTTATTTCAGCCTAAAATTAGTAATTATATCATCGTCATTTCTATTATTTATTGAAACTATTGTATATTTTACCACATGGATTTTTTTTTTTTTTTTTTTTTTTTTGACAGGCAGAGTGGACAGTGAGAGAGAGAGACAGAGAAAGGTCTTCCTTTGCTGTTGGTTCACCCTCCAATGGCCGCTGCGGCCGGCGCACCGCACTGATCCGATGGCAGGAGCCAGGTACTTATCCTGGTCTCCCATGGGGTGCAGGGCCCAAGCACTTGGGCCATCCTCCACTGCACTCCCTGGCCACAGCAGAGAGCTGGCCTGGAAAAGGGCAACCGGGACAGAATCTGGCGCCCCGACCGGGACTAGAACCTGGTGTGCGGGCGCCGCAAGGCGGAGGATTAGCCTAGTGAGCCGCGGCGCCGGCCTACCACATGGATTTTAATTTCAGTCTTAAGGCATGTAGTATGTACTTCCTCTAAATATTTAGAAATATGTTTAGCCTTATAAAGTCTTGTTTATTCAAATAATGAGTACTAATTGTATGCCAAGCACTACCCTAGGTATTTGAGGTATATTAATAACTAAGTAGAATAAATATACAGTCTGGTAAGACTATCTGATAATCTTCTAGTCTTACTTCCAGCCAGGTACCTTTTTGTAAGAAAAATACCCCATATTCTAAGATTTGTTTTTATTTGTGAAACTGTATTACTATGTAATACTTATAAACCAGGCAGAAAAAAAGCAGTCTCAAGTACTAATGTACTTTTGTTTTACTAGATTGAGGAACTTCAGCAGGCTTTAATAGTAAAACAAAACGAAGAGCATGACCGACAGAGGAGAATAAGTAATACTCGCAAAATGATAGAGGATTTGCAAAATGAACTGAAGACCGCTGAAAATTGTGAAAATCTTCAGCCCCAGATTGATGCCATTACAAATGATCTTAGGCGAGTTCAAGATGAAAAGGCATTATGTGAAGGCGAGATCATTGATAAGCGAAGAGAGAGGGAAACTCTAGAAAAGGAGAAAAAGAGTAAGTTTTTTTAAAGTCAAAGTGAAGTGTTTGTAAAATGGAGAATTTTCTTGGTGGGCTCTCTTCTTCTGATCATCATTCTTTAAACTGTTCAGGTGTTGTTGAGGAAACTTAGCTCAATTCTAACTCTGTAACCTTAATTGCCAGTAGCCTCTGTGTATCAGCTACTGGCTGACCATTGTCTAATTTCAGAGTCGGGCAATTGATTTAATTTCTCTCATTGTGCTCAGGTTTGTTTTCTGTACAGAGTCGTGTACTCTTACTCATATCAGGCTTAAGCTATTCGTTCATAACCATCATATTCTTTTCTGTAGATAGATTATATATAAATAGTGCTGTAGCATTATTTGGATAGAGGTCTTATGTTCTGTCTGATCAATAATATATGCCAGAGATGAATTTCAGCAGAACCTAGTTGTATGTGTTTATCAAAGTATAGTACATGTGTATGTTTTTTAAAAGAACTAGTGGGTTTTTTAAAATGGGGGTGGTATAACCCCTTTCCTACCTCCAGACCCTCTCAAGAGTAACTCCCTGCAACTCTGCTAGCAGTTTTCTGTAATAGTCCTTCCTTATATGTATGTATGTATATTATATATAAATTATATATACATATTAATTATATATTAATAGCTATTCCACTATAGGTTGGTTAATTAATTTGAGACATCATCTTTTGGTATTTAATCACTCTGGATGAATATTTCAGCTTATAACTTTTTTTCCTATTATAATTTCTCAAATGTGATTATTATATTATTGATTTGGATGGAGGTTATGTGGTACAGTGGTTAGGACACTGCTTAGAATGCCCATATCATGTATTAGAGTGCTTGGGTTTGAGTCCTGGCTCTGTTTTTGATTCCTGGCTTTGCTTTCAGTTCCAGCTTCTTACTAATGAACACCCTGGAAGGTAGCCAGTGATGGTGAGTTCCTGTTCTTCGTGTGGGAGATCTGAATTGCGTTCCAGGTTCCTGGCTTGAACTTGGCCAAACCCTGGCTGTTGTGGCATTTAGAAAGTGAACCAGTGAATGGAAGACCCGGTCTCTGTTTCTCTCTCTATGACTTTCAAGTAATATAAAAGTAAATTTTTAAAGATTAATTATTATTAGAGTATATTCATATCTTTTCTTTATTGTCACCTAACAGTTGCCAATATTGCTTGACTGCGTACTTCATTAGCTGAAAATACTAGTCTTCATATCGTTGCTTTTCTTTTTCTTCCCATATCATATTTGTAATTCTTTCAGCTGTACTCTGATTTTTGTATTTTCAAGACTAAAAACGAATTCTTTTGGGAATCATAACTAATTTTTGTACGCCCTGCTTATGAGTTAATTATGGAAGTTGAGAAACACCAATTAATTTATTTGAAAGGCAGTTACAGAGAGGCAGAGAGAGAGAAAGAGAGGTCTTCCATCCACTGGTTCACTCTTCAGATGACTGCAACGGCTGGAGCTGTGCCAATTCAGAGCCAGGAGCTTCCTCCAGGTCTCCCACGCAGGTACAGGGGCCCAGGGACTTGGGCCATCCTCCACTGCTTTCCCAGGCCACAGCAGAGAGCTGGATTGGAAGTGGTTATAACAATGAAACTTGGTCGCGACTGAGCCAAATATTACATTATGATTAAATTTTCCTTTTGTTGATCATTTTTTAAGGGTTTTAATTTAGCTTTTTAAAAAAATAGTGTTTGCTTTCTTTTATCTTTAAATTGAAGAAAGAAATTATCAGACATTCTCTTGACTTCTGGTCTTCTGTTCACCTTGTATCTAAGCTGGATATTGTCAAGAAATCCTATGTAATTTTTCGTTCTTTCTCTTTTTTGGAGAGACCTATTCCTGAATTCTGTGTCTTTCTTTTTATTACATTATATCCTTATTTTGTTACAATATATCTTCAGATAACATGCTAAGACATGGTATTTTGTAGGTAATTTCCTAGTCTTTGCATCCCTCAGAATATCTTTATGGTCAGTTCTTCTCAGTTTTGTATGTATACTTTCAGGTTGAAAATAATTTTTCGGTTAGAATTTTGAAGGCCTGTTGCCACTATCTTCTGATAGGAAAACCAGTATTTATTCTTTTAATATTTACTTATTGGAGGGGGGGGGCAAGAAAGAAGGGGAGAAAGAGAGAGAAAGAGAGTGAGCGAGCTTCCTGAAATGTCCAGAATGACAAGTCTGGGCCATGCCCAAGCTAAGAGCCACAAACTCTATCTGGGTCTTTCATAAACTTGGGACATCTTCTACTACTTCCCAGGTTCATTAGCAGAAAGCTGTATCCAAAACAGAGTAGTCTAGTAAGGGTTGCAAGCAGTGGCTTAACCTGCTATGCCTCAACACTGGCCCCTCTCATTCTTTTTTACGTTAACTGGTTTATATTTTTTATAGCTTCAAGATTGTCTTTTAACTCAGGTGTTGGAAAATTTTAAGGTGATTTTTCCAGGCCAGGTCTTTTCCTCTCTGCAGAGTACTTGTGGACTAATATTTATAACCTTTAGATCTAGGATATTTTTTAGAATTAATAGATTATTTCACTAATTAAGGTCTTCAAAGAAACACTGTTTTGTTTTCTAATTTTAGATGTGGATGATCATATTGTACGTTTTGATAATCTTATGAATCAAAAGGAAGATAAGCTGAGACAGAGATACCGTGACACCTATGATGCTGTTTTATGGCTAAGAAATAACAGAGACAAATTTAAGCAAAGAGTCTGTGAGCCCATCATGCTCACGGTAAGAAATTTTATTTTATTCATCTTGATAGTGTTGCTTAGTTTTACTGTTTATAACCATTGTAGATTTTAGTCTTTTTAATACCCTGGTTTTCTGTTACCAGACATGCAGCATCTGGCACACTGCTAAGTCTATACATGAGCTTTTTAAAGGGCCCCTGATCGTTGAGGGCAATAATTTACCATAAAACCTGTGAGCTCTTTTGGAGAAAGATGTATGAGACTGATGTTTTATGGAAGAGTTATGTATAAAATCAGCTTGATTACTAAGTTCTTCCTGATACTTTCCACCCTTAGATTATAGAAGGAATTATATTAAAACCTGACTGAAGAGGTGAAAACTTCTATGAATAAATATGTTGATAAGGGATATGTGATAGAATAGAAAAATCACCTGCTACCATAAACCATATAATGAAGATTTTGAGAATGAAATCAGTAGTTTGTTGACATCATACAGTATTTGTTAGCTCTTTCTTATTGATAACAGTAATTCATCAAGAAAAGTTAAAACTGTATTTAGTAAATCAGTTAATGAGTGTGACCATTTATTTAATAGGATGATTTCCATCTAAACTATTTAAAATAAGTTTATCCAAATAAAGGGGTGGAAAAATGAAAAACACCATTCTTTGGTAATGAAATACAGATATATAAGCTTAAAGCTTATCCCAAAATGATTTAATGATTATTTTTGCTAGATAATTTTTTTCTTTGGAAAACAATTCATGCAGGATTCATGAAAAGCTCTTATTTTTTGTAACTTCATGTTTGTGATATGCTTTATTAAAAATAATTTTATAGTTTTTGTCTTTTATTACATTATATTAGTAAAAGGGATATACATTGTATATTCTCTATTACTCAGTTGTGTACTGTTAGAATATTCTTACCAGATCAAGAAGAAAATTTGCTTTGGATGTAGACATTGTTTTTGATTAGTCTGATAAGGATTGAAAGAAAATATTTTTTTAAATACCATAACTCAGTGCAAGTTACAACACAAAGGTAATTGTGAACAGATATTTACTAATATGCTGACCTCAAAATACTTCAGAGCTTCATTTTATTTGTCATGTGTTATTTGACTTCCTAATAATGGCCTGTCATTGAGTCAGATAACTGACTCAGTGCCATTGAATCTTTGAGATAAAGAGGTATACTCTATTAGCCTTCTTAGAATAACCCTTTGCCTTTCCTATCACTTCCCTCCCTCCCTATGTCCCCCTACCCATTCAAGGCCTAGTTGAAGTGCTGCCACCTCCATAGGCAAATTAGTAATATGCAGACTTAAAATTTCAGTATATAAATTATCAGCCAACTCTGTCCATGATTTGTTTCTAACAGTTCTAATCCAGAATGGGAGAAATGTGCAAAGATGTATTTATATGTGTACTCCTCAAAGTAGTGTTTATAATAGCAGAATGATAGGGCAAAAGAAGATAATTTACAGAAATGCTGATTGGTTAAGTAAATTCTAATAAATTAAGTAAATTATAATAAAATACTATGCAGTAATTGAAAATGTTGCTGTAGGTCTCTACTAATACAAAGATATTTATGACAATAAACATAAAACATTGCAGAGTAAGATGTATAGGAAATTCTCATTTAAATTGTGAAAGATCAGTCGTCAGATCATCTTGAAATGTTCTCTCCTGTATCTGATTGACTGTGCCTTGCTCCTTTGTGATGTCCTTAGAAGGACTTTGGCAAATATTTTCTTCAGTTATCTTATGAGAAGAGGGAATATCCTAAGAAACTGGAAGCTGCAGAACCAACATAATATAGCTAAATCATCCTTGAGGATATTGGGAGACCAGACTGTGGATACATTGGAGAATTGTTACATTTGGGGAAAAGTGTGAGTCAGTCACTACTGGAACTGCACTCTGGCCAGTGGCCAAAACGACACCTACTTATGTAACTTCTTTGATACGAATGACCTGAATTAGCAGTTGAAGTTTGTCAAAAATTCACTTTGTAAACAAGTTGTACAAGATAGGGGCTTGTGGATGCTCATACGTCAGAGTATCTTTGATAAATACACCTGAGAACAAGTGAGAATGAGAACTAACTCCTAGTCTGGTTTGTCTATAGTCATTAAAAAGAGCAGGCTGGATTTTGACCTAATGTTAATAGGCTGGTTAGGATGCCTACATCCCATATTGGAGTACCTGGGTTCAAGTCTGGGCTCCAGCTTCCAATTCCAGCTTCCTGCTAGTGCAGATCTTGGGAGAAAGTCGGGTCCCTTCCACACATGTCAGAGATCTAGGCTGAGCTCCAGACTAAAACATGGTCCAGCCCTGGCCACCATGGACATTTGTGGAGTGAACCAGCAGACAGGGACTTGGCGTGAGCTCTCCCTGTCTCTGTCTCTGTGTGTGTATATGTGACTTTCTTGTGGTCATATTGAAGTTACCTTTTTTTTTTTTTTTTAAGATTTATGTATTTATTTGAAAGGCAGAGTTACAGAGAGGCAGAGGCAGAGAGAGAGAGATCTTCCATCTGCTGGTTCACTCACCAAATGACTACAACGGCTGGAGCTGGGCTGATCCAAAGCCAGGAGACAGGAGCTTCTTCTGGATTTCCCATGCAGGTGCAGGGGCCCAAGGATTTGGGCCATCTTCCACTGCTTTCCTAGGCCATAGCAGAGAGCTGGATCAGAAGTGGAGAAGCCAGGTCTTGAACAGGCGCCCATATGGGTTGCTGGCACTACAGGCGGTGGCTTTACCCACTAAGCCACAGCACTGGCCCCCGGGTTTGTTTGTTTGTTTGTTTTTTGCCCTTTTGGTAAGTTGTAGTAAATACCCACTTACATTTGGGAGTAAACTAAAATTTATGAAATAATATACATTAAATAGTTATAGTGTTTAAGTGATGTATATGGATTTTAATTTATTTTGTCCATTTTTTATAATTATTAGTATTCTATAATTTAAAATAGATGACAGTATTGGCCAGCATTTATGTGACAAGCATGGTACTTTTTTTATTTACTATTTTGTTTCTGTTAATCCACACTAAATTCTGTGATATATATGAGTTTTGCTATATCTCTTATGAATGAAATTAACTACTTTTCTGATATTTAAGTACTGCTTGATCAAGTTGACATATAGGATTTGAAAGGACATCTTTCTGACCCAGGAACGCTATCTCTTAACTAGTACACATCATGATATATTATAGCATATAAATGCCTCCTCTTTCATTATTTTTTCCAATAAGCCAATTTCTATCTGCTCAAAGTAATCTGTCTTTAAAATTCCATAGATAGCACTTTTTATGTGCCTCTATTAATGGGGCTTTATCACGCCTTGGTTTTTAACATACTTATTCATCTGCACTAAATAATGGATTATACTCCTTGAGATAGTTATTTTTCCTGACCTAGCTTAGTCTGTTCAGTAACCTTGAGCCTTGCATGCAGAAATGCCTAATTAATTAATATTTTTCAAATAATTCAAGAAGCTTCTGCATTATCTGTATCAACCTAAGGTTTCTCTCTTTTTTTTTTTTTTTTTTTTGACAGGCAGAGTGGACAGTGAGAGACAGAGACAGAGAGAAAGGTCTTCCTTTGCCGTTGGTTCACCCTCCAATGGCCGCCGCGGCCGGCACGCTGCGGCCGGTGCACCGCGCTGATCCAATGGCAGGAGCCAGGAGCCAGGTGCTTTTCCTGGTCTCCCATGGGGTGCAGGGCCCAAGCACCTGGGCCATCCTCCACTGCACTCCCTGGCCACAGCAGAGAGCTGGCCTGGAAGAGGGGCAACCGGGACAGAATCTGGCGCCCCAACCGGGACTAGAACCCGGTGTGCCAGCGCCGCTAGGCGGAGGATTAGCCTAGTGAGCCGTGGCGCCGGCCTTAAGGTTTCTCTTGAAGGCACTGTGGTTAGAATTAAACTATAGCAAAGTTTTCTTTATCCATTATCTTTGTAAAGTTTTATTCAATTCCTTGTGTTTTTGTAATAGTTATTTCCATATATAATACAAAGTTCTCAGGATAAGCATTTGGGGACACCTGCAATTCTGTATGGGAGTTCCAGTTGGAGTCCCTGCTGCTCTACTTCTGATCCAGCTTCTTGCTAATGCATCCTGGGAGACAACAGATGATAGCTGCACTGCCTAGGCCCCTGCCCACAATAGACCTGGGATAGACTCCTAGCTGCTGGCTTCTGTCTAGCCCAGTCTTTGGTGTCGCAGGCATTTAGGAAGTAAACCAGCAGAAATGGAAAATGTCTGTCTCTTTCTCTCTCTCTCTCTCCATATCTGTCACTCTGCCTTTAAAGTAGGTAAAGAGAAATAAGCATTTTATGAAATGCAAAGTTACACTGAAAATTAAGAAGAACAATATTAAACATTTTGGCAAACAAGAGAATTGATTATACTCTACATCACAGTCTTAGGTTTTCAAATGCTTTGAACGAGCTGATCTAAAAGGAACTTAAGTTATCTCAGAATCATTGTGCATCAGATACTATTCAAATCTTGGTAATTGTTTACCTATGTATTGGTTGTTTTTGGATGATACTGAGATTATATTTTTTTTGAGATTACATATTTTTAAATGACCCTTTAATACCAAGTTTGTTTATTTTCTCTTTAATACATGTTAATTAATTACATAAGTCTAAGTTAAATGTAACATGTTTTAATCGGTTTAGCTTCATGAAAATAACTTTTTGTTTTTTTAGATCAATATGAAAGATAATAAAAATGCCAAGTATATTGAGAATCATATTCCATCAAATGACTTGAGAGCCTTTGTATTTGAAAGTCAGGAAGACATGGAAGTTTTCCTCAAAGAGGCAAGTCAACCAGTACAACAGTGGCTCACTTGGTGCTTATCTTTCCATAATTGAATTTTTAACTTCACTAGAGCAAAAAGTTAATGTTGTCGCCAGATAACTCTTGTGTAACAGTCATTCAGTTCTGCTAATTTCTTTCCTATTTATGGCATTATTAGAGAATGGGTTTGTTTTGTAAAAGCAAACTAGCCTTTTAGCATCTGTAACATATTTTGGAAGTATCATTTGAAATTAATGTGAAAAATAATTGTCACATTGTTTTAGAGAAGGAAGTATTGTAATGATGTACCTTTAGTTTTTCCCATCTTAGAAATTATTATGGGGCCGGTGCTGGGGTGTAGTGGGTGAAGCCATCACCTGGAGTGCTGGTATCCCATATGGGTGCCGGTTCGAGTCTCGGCTGCTCCACTTCCCATCCAGCTCTCTGCTATGGCCAGAGAAAGCAGTGGAAGATGGCCCAAGTCCTTGAGCCTCTGCACTTGTGTGGCAGACCCAGAAGAAGCTCCTGGCTCCTGGCTTCAAATCAGCTCAGCTCTGGCTATTGTGGTCATTTGGGGAGTGAACCAGCAGATGGAAGACCCTCCCCCCACCCCTTTCTCTCTGCCTGGCCTCTCTGTGACTCTGCTTTTCAAATAAGTAGATAAATCTTTAAAAAAAAAGAAATTATTAGAATGAACTGTTTTTTTGTTGAAGGGAAAATCAGTTTGATGTTATTTCTTAATATAAATGAAACTTCTTTTCAAAGAATAATAATTCTGTATCTGGCTAGAAGAATACCACTGACTGAAAATGTAAGCCATTGAAAGTCAGCATGGCGTAGTAATTAAGATTATATACTCTGTAGCTGGCTGCCAGGATTAGAGTGCTGGCTTTGCTTATAGTTTAGATGATCTAGACATTTTCTGCCTCGTTTCTGCCTCATTTTCTGCCTTCTGTAAAATAAGGGTGATATTAGCCACTTCAAAAACTGGTTGTGATAATTAAGTCATTTAAATGTAAAAGTGTTAACAGTGCTTATTAACCATTATCATATATTGTTACATATTTATGGATAGCTATATATATACTTTCTAAAATTGTTTATTAACCCCCAGACTAATACAGGTTTTTTTTTGTTTTTGTTTTTGTTTTTTAGATTTATTTGTATTTATTTGAAACACAGAGTTAGAGAGGTCTTTCATCAGCTGGTTCACTCCCCAAATGGCCGCAATGGCCAGAGCTGAGCTGACCAGAGCCAGGAGCCGGGTCTCCCAGTCAATGCAGGGGCCCAAGGACTTGGGCAATCTTCTGCTCCTTTCCCTGGCACATTAGCAGGGAGCTGGATTGGAAGTGAAGCAGCTGGGACTGGAACCGGCACCCACATGGGATGTTGGCACTAAAGCCTGGGACTTTAACCCACTGTGGCACAATGCTGGCTCCTATATATGTACTTTTAAAATGAGTTTTAAACTCAGCTTTTTTTTTTTTTTTTTAAGATTTATTTATTTGAAAGGCAGAGCAATTGAGAGAAAGAGAGAGATCTTCCATCTGCTGCTTTATACCCCAGATAGCTGTACAGCCAAGTCTGAGCCAGGCTGAAGCCAGGAGCCAAGAACTTTATCTGGGTCTCCTACATGGGTAGCAGGCGCCAAGTACTTGGGCCATCTTGCAGTTGGTTAACTGTGTATTATATTTGTTATATATGAATTGTAAATTGTTAACTAGCTGTAACTATTAGTAAAATTTTTCTTTCCTTTTGCATTTTCTTTCTTTTTCTTTAAAAGAGTCACAAGCTAGGTCTTGTTTTGTCTTATTCTGGATCTGCTCATGTGGTCCTAGGTTTCTGTGGTTTACATATGCTTGGAAAGAATCTTTAATTTCTTTGATATTTATCTTGGCAACCTGTTTCTGAATATGAACATAAAGATGGTTGGATGTATAAGATTGTAAAATTGAGTCCAAAAGGGTAAACATCTGTGTTACAACTGTTTAAAACTAATCAGTGTCGGAGCTCACTGGAGTTGCTCATCTGAATTAAATGTCTGTGATACCTGGTACACTGTGAAGGTCCTGCACTCAGGTGTAATTGGAGTATTTCTTTTTTAGAAATACACAGATTCCCATATCTTTAATACCTTATCTTGCATCAAGAACTCAGGTTGCCTCTGTGTTGAGGATTTGAAGTATATGTTAATAATTTGATAAAAATTTCTGATAATTTCACCTTCAGTTCTTTTTTTTCTTGTTCTGTGATAATTAGCTTTCCATGAGTGCTCATCAGAAAGGACCAGAACTTCTATATATTTGGGCTTTTTTATCGGTGTATTTTAAATTGTGAAATTTACTCTAAATTACTCTCCCCTATAATTTTAACCACCAGAGGAGTGTTTCTCATCCATCCTTCAGTAACTAACAAACTGTCTTCACAGTTTTTCCGCCACAATTTTTGTCACTTTTGGGTGGGTATTATCTGTAGTGTTATTTGTTTATTTTTTTAAATTGCCTTGCTTTTTATTAGTCAAGGAAAGTACTCTAAAAAATACTGTATTATCACTGCAAAATTTAAAAACCAATAATGTGCATAACAATAAGATAATTAAAAAGTTACTAAATTCTAGATCTGTAACAGTTGCTTTCTAAAAGTAGATAACATGGGTTTTTTTTATTTTTTTATTTTTTTGACAGGCAGAGTGGACAGTGAGAGAGAGAGACAGAGAGAAAGGTCTTCCTTTGCCGTTGGTTCACCCTCCAATGGCCGCTGCGGCCGGCACACCATGCTAATCCGAAGCCGGGAGCCAGGTGCTTCTCCTGGTCTCCCATGGGGGTGCAGGGCCCAAGGACTTGGGCCATCCTCCACTGCACTCCCGGGCCACAGCAGAGAGCTGGACTGGAAGTGGGGCAACCGGGACAGAATCCGGTGCCCCAACTGGGACTAGAACCTGGTGTGCCGGCGCCACAAGGTGGAGGATTAGCCTATTGAGCCATGGCGCTAGCCTCCTTTTTAATTTTTCTAACAAGGAGAAAGTTACAGTGTGGTATCAGCACATCCTAAATTCCTTAACTTCTTTTTAAAAACATGTTATCGGCTGTTGCCGCAACTCAACAGGGTTCTAGTCCCAGTCGGGGTGCCAGTCCTATCCCGGTTGTTCCTCTTCCAGTCTAGCTCTCTGCTGTGGCCCGGGAGTGCAGTGGAGGATGGCCCAAGTCCTTGGGCCCTGCACCCGCATGGGAGACCAGGAGAAGCACCTGGCTCCTGGCTTCGGATCAGCATGGTGCGCTGGCCGCAGCAACCATTGGAGGGTGAACCAACAGTAAAGAAAGACCTTTCTCTCTGTCTCTCTTTCACTGTCTAAATCTGCAGGTCAAAAAAAAAAAAATTAAAAAGGAAATTACCTTCTTACTGTGTAATTGTTTCAGTTAATATAACCACTAAAACAGTAGATTTTAAAAACTTAATGAGCCACATATACTAGTTTCACTAGTATATTGACTCATGGCCAGTATTGTTTCATCTTTACCTCCATTCTTCCATTGACTTTTTTTGATATAACATGGATATAATTTAAACTTACAGAAAGGTTATACACATGGACCTGCTTTATACCCATTTTTTACATTCACTATTTATATTTTGCTCTATTTTTTATTTATCTATTGCAAAGTACAATCAATTCTGCTACAGCCCAACAAACATTCCTAAAAATTACAAAATGATGCAATAAATGAAACTCAAAGGACTTATGGGAAAAGAGCTTAGAGTATAACACTCACAAATTTCATAAAAGAGAAACATAGAAAGATGAACCAAATATAACATGGCAACACAATTTTATGCATGTGAAATTGATATTTATGTATAAATAGAATAAATATAGTAGTACCCCTTATACTCAGGATAGGTTCTCAGATACTCAGTGGATGTCTGAAATCATAGGTAATATTGAAAGCTACATATACCATTTTTTCCTGTACCTACATACCTATGATAGTTTAATTTATAAATTAGGCACAGTAAGAGAATAAGAGATATGATTCATAGTAAGATAGAAAAAGTATATTGTCAAAAAATCATGTGGTTTTTCTCTTCTCTCTCAAAATGTGCCATTGTACTGCACCAAACCTTGTTGACCATGGGTTACTGAAATTGGGACATAAAACTACAACAAAGGGAGGGACTACTATATGATGCTTTATTTTGAAAAAAATCTGAAATTGGCTTCTGGAAGGAGTATTGGAAGTGTTCATTTTTTGAGTTATTATGTAGTGGTTAAAGCACTTACAAAGTAATTAAATTAAATTTTATGGGACGTTGTAACAAATATGAATGGGTATAGCTCATAACACATGGTGAACAGAGATGGCTGTTAGATGTCTGAGAGGGTTGAGTGTGTACTTGCACATTATATATATTTTATTAAACAGTTCAGGTGGATGTAGTTTTCTGCATTTACCTAGAAAACATCTTTTATTCCCTATGGGTGAAATTATGCAAGCACATGTGAAATTCACATAATGCTCAGATCATCTCCTGGTATCAGTTGCATGGAACAAATTTGTTTTTAAAACAAGCACTATATGGGGCTGGCACTGTGATATAGCAGATAAAGCCACCGCCTGCGGTGCTGGTGTCCCATATGGGTGCCAGTTCAAGTCCTGGCTGTTCCACTTCCGATCCAGCTCTCTGCTATGGCCTGGGAAAGCAGTAGAAGATTGCCCAAGTGCTTGGGCCCCTGCACCCGCATCAGAGATCTGCAGTAAGTTCCTGGGTCCTGGCTTTGGATTGGCCCTGTTCTGACTGTTGTGGCTGTTTGGGGAGTGAACCACTGGATGGAAAACTTCTCTTTCTCTGCCTCTGTCTCTCTGTAACTCTGCCTTTCAAATAAAATAAATAAATCTTTAAGAAAACCGAAACAAGCACTATAGTAAAATTGGCCCTCTTTATCTTGGTAGCTATTGTGGAGATATTTTGAGACTGCAAATACCATGTTCCTTGTGAAACTACCTAATAGATTTAAGAGCCATTAATAATTCTAATTCAGTCATTTCTACTGTATTTATTAGTTGACATTCTACCTATAAGGAAGGGCTTTTTCTTCATTAGTTCATTTATTGATATGTTGATTATATAGTATAAATTCGTAGAGTTTATAATCCATTACTACTGTTATTTTAGTGCTCAAATTGTCCCAGATTTGACCAGTCTTCAGGTTTTCTCCTATATCCTTTTAATATTATTGCCATCTTATTTTCAGCACTTCTTTCTTTTTGCTGCAGTTAAGATATTACAGACTCACTTTGAATGTGTGCTGCCTGCCCTTATAAACTCTCTTTTTCCCAAAAATCCCTAGTTACTTTAAGAAATCATGATCTGGATACAAGGTGTGTTCATTGCTACTGCCATCTCATTGCTTCAGAATACATAAATGCAAACCTTTATATTTAAATTAGTTTCTGTGTTTATCTAGAGAACAAGAGAGTATATTTAAGTGCAGCATGAGTTTATACTGTTAGTCTTTCTCCTTTGCATATTTGGTTTTTTTTAAAAAAGAATTATTACTTATTTGAAAGAGTTACAGAGAGAGAGGTCTTCCATCTGCTGGTTCACTCCCCAGTTGGCAGCAACAGCCAGAGCTGTGCTAATCAGGAGCCAGGAGCTTCTTCCAGGTCTCCCACGCGGGTGCAGGGGCCCAAGGACATGGGCCATCTTCTACTGCTTTCCCAGGCCACCACAGAGAGCCGGATCAGAAGTGGAGCAGCCGGGTCTCGAACTGGCGCCTATATGGAATGCTGGCACTGCAGTTGGTGGCTTTACCCACTATGCCACCTCGCTGGCCCTGCTCCTTTGCATATTTGTGATTCTTTTCCATACTAATGAGAAACGTAGCTCCCCTAAGTTATCAGTACATTTACTCATTTGTTCAGGCTTAGAATGCCGTGAAAATAATTTTAGAATTACCAGTCATACCACCATGAAATTCCTCCTTTCCACCATCTCAACATGACTCCATTACTATCTCTCAACATTGTTATGTCTTATTCTGTGTAAATCCAGTGAATCTTTTGTTAAATGTTTTAGCATGTAATTTAGCTATATACATTATTAAATGTATAATTTAAATATGCACATTCTTAAATATGTGTTTTATGGCTTTTTGACACATGTAAATGGTTTTCTAAAATTCATTTTGTAATCATTTATTGCTGGTGTATAGGTGACATACAATTAATATTTTATATTGACCTCGTATCCTGTGACACTCTTGAATTGTTGAATTCTAGTAGTTGCTTTTTAGGTTCCATAGGATTTTTTATGTACTATGTTCTCTATAAATGGATTGTTTTATGTCTTCCTTCCCAACATTTTATTTTTTTATTTAGTCTTGCCGTATACTTCTAAAATGGTGTGAGGTCAAAGATTAGACATCCTTGTTCCCAGTCCTCGAGGAAAAGCACACAATATTTCTCCATCAAATGTGATGTTTGCTATAGATTTTTCATAACTGTCCTTTATCATGTTGAAAGAATTTCCTTCTGTTATTAGTTTGCTGAACATTTTTATCATGAATAGCTGCTGAATTTTGTCAATTCTCTTATCTTCACTTACTGACTTTTGTCCTGTGATCAAATATGATAAATAGGTTAGTTTTACATCTGGCATTTCTGGGATAAGCTCTGCTTGATTGTGTATCCTGTTCATATATTGCTGTGTTGTATTTGTAAAGGGTTTTTGCATATGTGTTCATGAAGGATATTGGTTTGTAGTATTTTTTTAAGTGTTTTTTTAGGTCTTGGTATCAGGTTTATGGTAATATGAAATGGCTTGAAAAGTGCTTCATTCTGTGTTTTCTGCAGAGTTTTAATATTGTAGGTACTGGCTCAAGTATTTTGGTCACTGCCACCCATGTGGGAGATCAGATTGAGTTTTGGACCATTCCTGGCTGTTGGCATTTGGGGAGTTAACTAGCAGATGAAAGATCTCTTTTTTTCTATGCCTCTCCAATCTTACTGCCTTTCAAATATGTTAAAATTAAAGCTTTTAAAAAAATGTTCAAAGACTGGCATTGTGGCATAGCAGGCCAAGCCATTGCCTGTGATGTTGGCATCATGTATGGGTGCTGGTTCAAGTCTCAACTGCTCCACTTTGAATCCAGCTCCCTGCCTTTTGTGCCTGGGAAAGCAGCAGAGGATGGCCAGGTCGTTGGGTTTCTGCACCCTGCTCCTGACTTTAGTCTGGTATTGCCCTGGGCATTATAGCCATTTGAGGGGTGAACTAGTGAATGAAAGACCCCTCCCTCCTCTCTTTCTTTCTCTCTGTCTCTGTCTCTCTCTCTCTCTCTCTCTTTCTCTCTCTCTCTCTGTATCTCTCTCTCCCTCCCCCCTCCCTCTCTCCCTCCCTCCCTTCCTTCCTCCCTCTCTTTCTCTTAACTCTGCTTTTCAAATAAATAAAAAAATATTTTGAAAGTCCAGAGTTTATAATTATTATTTGTGAAAAGCTTAGCACAATACGAGATAAACTGCCATTAATGGAACTATCCCTCTTCTGTATTATTTTGAAGCAAGTCTCATTCTATTTTATGTGAAAGTATTTTAGTATATACTTCTGAAAGAGATGAACTTTTTTTTTAAAAAAAAAAAGGCAATGTAATTACGCTATCATATCACAGTAAAAATTTCTTGGAATTATCATCAAATATCCAGTGTTCCAATTTATGATTATCCCATGAATTATTAGTAGGATTATGGTAACTTTGAAGATCATCTTCCTCCCTTCCTTCTTTCCACTATTTCTTTTCTCTATTTATTTGAAAGTCAGAGAGATAGAGATAAGCAGAAGTCTCCCAACCACTGGTTCATTTTTCCGAATGTCCACAACAGCTGGGGTTAGGCCAGGCCAAAACAAGGAGCCAGCGATGCAATCTAATTTGCCCACAAGGGCAACAGAGACCTAAGAACTTGAACCATCACCTGTTGCCTCTCAAGGTGCACATTAACAGGAAGTTAGATTTACAATTGGAACAGAACAAGGACTTTACCCAGGTACTCCCATACTGATGCAGGCATCCCTGGTGGTATCTTAACTGCTGCCCCAATCTCTTCCCCCCTCTTAAAATTATTTCAATTGAGAATATACATTAATTAAAATATTGGGTTTTTTCTTAACTCAGGTTCGTGACAATAAAAAATTAAGGGTAAATGCTGTTATTGCTCCCAAGAATTCATATGCAGCCAAAGCACCTTCAAGATCTCTAAATGAACTGAAGTAAGTTTTGAAAAAATTGTTAGATTTGACGGAAGTATTAAATAATTTATCTCTTAAATAAGTTTTAATTAATTCCTTGTCACATAATATGTTTATTGTAAGCTATAGTATTCTTTTTTAGGATCTTTAATTAAAAATGGAAAACTTTGGGCCCAAGAACACACAGCCATGGTATAGTTAGTATATGATGAAGGTGATATTTCAGATCTGCAGAACAGTAATAGAATATTTAATAATTGGCAGGAAATTAGTGGGTTGGTTATTGGGAAAATGAAGTGATAAATCATCACCTTCTAATGCAAAAATAACTTCCAAAATGACTGACTATAAAATTTACAATTCAAAGTAACTAAGTAAACATTCAAAATATAAAAGCAATAGAAGAAACAAAAACATTCTAATAGTTTGTAATCATAAATAGCTTAGGTTTCTCTGACAATAAGGTAAATAATGTGAAGTGAATTTAAAATGTAAAAAAATTAAATAAACCCAACTATTACCGTACCATTGTTGAAATGATTTACATTTCCTGTTGACCACTTGTCAACCTTAGATTTCTTGTTTTTAATGATAATTTTAAGAAAAATTGAGTTGGTACTTTTCCTTTCAGACAGTATGGCTTTTTCTCTTATTTGCGAGAATTGTTTGATGCACCTGATCCAGTGATGAGCTACCTGTGCTGCCAGTATCATATTCATGAAGTTCCAGTAGGAACTGAAAGGACCAGAGAAAGAATTGAGCGGGTAAGAAAGTAGTGAATACTTACCAAATTCATAGTTTTATTCAAACTTCTTAGCTTAAAGTGAAGTCAGAAGTGCCAGAAATTTAAATAAGTGTATCATTCTGTTATTTTTTAATGAGACATAAAACAGTGAGTGTTGGCTAACACTTCATGGTAAGAGTGATACGGAGATAACTGCAATAGGTCCGTACTTAATGTCTGTAAGATAATTGCATAAAGTTAAAATCTGGAAGGAAGCACTCGGTGTTCTTTCCTGATTCTTCCCTGCTTGATAAACCTTTGTTGAAGTCTCATATTCCAGGTTATCTTTCAGACAGATTGTAGTTTAGAATGGTAGGCTACAGTATAGAACTGTTTTGTAAAACTTCTACTCAAAACTGTCCTATGACGATTCCTCATCTCATTTTCTTAGCTAATATAGCTGCAGAAACTCTTAGTTCCTATATTTTGCTAGTACTGTCTGGAATTTTCTTTTTACAAGTAATCCGTGACTCCAGATCACATGTACTTTTTTCTCACAGGCATAAGTGGGAAATTTTCCTAGAATAGGTGTTTCCGTACATTGACCTGTTAATACTGCTCCTAAGTATTGGGAACTATACAGACCTAGCTACTATTTATACTACTGAATTTATTAGAAAATGTTTTAAATTCCCTTGGGCTGGCATTATGGTGTAGCAGATAAAGCCACCACCCGCAATGCTGGCGTTTCATGTAAATGTTGTTTCAAGTCCTGGCTGCCCCACTTCCGGTTCATCTTCCTGCTAATGGCATGTGAAAAACAATGTAGAATGGCCCAAATATTTGGGACTTTGCTGGCCACGTGGGACACCTGGAAGAAGCTCTTGGCTCTTGGCTGCAGCCTGGCTCAGCTGTGGCCATTGCAGCCTTCTGAAGAGTGAATCAACAGATGGAAGATGTCTCTCTGTCTCTTCCTTTCCCTCTGTAATTCTGACTTTCAAATAAGTAAATCTAAATGAATGAATGAATATATAAGTAAATAAATATAATTCCTGACAGCCATGTGGTGGCTATGGTGGCTCAGCAGTTTAAGCCAGCACTTGGGGCATTTGTATCCCATATCAGAATGCCAGCCTCTTGCTGATGCGTTCTGGAAAGCAGCAGATGGTGGCTGCTTGGGCGTCTGCCATCCACATGGGAGATCCAGGTAGAGTTCTGAGTTCCTGACTTTGACCTAGACCAGCCTTGGCTTTTGCAGGAATTTGGAGGAGTGAACCACTCTTTCTTTCACTCTCATTCTCTCTTGCTTTTTCAAGTAGATAAAAAAAACAAGTGAACGTTAAAAAAAAAAAATCCTGGGACTGACTTTGTAGTACAGTTTGTTAAGCTCCTCCCTGTGATGCCAGCATCCTGTGTGAGTGCCATTTTGCATCTTGGCTGCTGTTTCTACTCCAGCTCTCTGCTAATGTACCTGGGAAGGCAGCAAATGATGGCCCAACTACTTGGGTCCCTGCCACCCAAGTTGGAGAACAGATGAAGTTCCCGGCTTTACCCTCGCTCACCCCTGGCTGTTGCAGCCATTTGGGGTGTGAACCAGCAGATGGAATGTGTCTCCTCTCTCTCTTTCCCCTCTCCCTCTCCCTCCTTCATCTCACCTCCTCCCTCCCTTCCTTTCTCTCCCCCTCCTCCATGAATTCTCTGTAATTCTGCCTTTCAGATAAATTTAAAAAGAAGAAAATTTTTAAAAAATTAAAATTAAAATCCTAAGAACTCATATACAAGTATTCCTAAGCCAATTAATATGGGAGCTTTTTGTACTTCATTAACAGAATATGGGAATGAGGGCTCATCACCAACCTGTTTTTGCAAAAAAAAAGTTACTTATAATAAGTTGCCTATGTCTTTTTTTTTTTTTTTTAAGATTTATTTATTTAAGAGGCAGAGTTACAGACAGAGTGAGAGACAGATGGAATGGTCTTCCTTCCACTGGTTCACTCCCCAGATGGCTGCAACGGCTGGAGCTGTGCTGATCCGGAGCCAGGAGCTTCTTCTGGGTCTCCCACGTGGGTGCAGGGGCCCAGCCACTTGGACCATCTTCTGCTGCTTTCACAGGCCATAGCAGAGAGCTGGATTGGAAGAGGAGCAGCTGGGACTAGAATCAGCACCCACACGGGATGCCAGCACCACAGGCAGAGGATTAACCCACTGCACCGCAGCACCAGCCCTGCCTGTGTCTTTAATTTAAAATCATATCATGATACGGTGATCATTCAGGGAAACTAAAATAGAACTTTCCAAATGGATGTATGTCTCCTGTATTAAAGTGAGGTTTAGAAAAGAAGACAGGCCGGCGCCGCGGCTCAATAGGCTGATCCTCCGCCTTGCGGCGCCAGCACTCCAGGTTCTAGTCCCGGTCAGGGCACCGGATTCTGTCCCGGTTGCCCCTCTTCCAGGCCAGCCCTCTGCTGTATCCCGGGAGTGCAGTGGAGGATGGCCCAAGTGCTTGGGCCCTGCACCCCATGGGAGACCAGGAGAAGCACCTGGCTCCTGCCTTCGGATCAGCGCGGTGCGCCGGCAGCAGCGCGCCAGCAGCAGCGCACCAGCCGCGGCGGCCATTGGAGGGTGAACCAACAACAAAAGGAAGACCTTTCTCTCTGTCTCTCTCTCTCTCACTGTCCACTCTGTCAAAAATGAAAAAAATAATAATAATAAAAGAAAAGAAGACAAGACCATATGCAAATTTCTGTCATAATGTAAGGGTAGGAAAAATTCTCTACTAATGCAGAAAGACAATAAGAAGTATGATAAGGGATTTCTTTCTTTACTTTGGGGCAGAAAGGAACAACTACTATGCTTGTAAATCCTTCTGCTTTTTGAGCAGTGCTTTAATTGAATTGTTTTTATGCATTTTTAACATTTGTTTAATTCATCTAGAGAACTTTTTCACTTCTGTTTGTAGTAGAAAAATGGCATTGAAATTCATATATTTACATTAAAAATGAAATTAATTTGAAAGAGTTTCAGGGAGGGAGAGGCAGAGAGAGAGTTATCTTCCAGATCCTCTGGTTCACTCCCCAAATGGCCACAACGGCCAGGGCTGGGCCAGGCCAAAGCAAGGATCTTCATCCAGGTCTCTTGTGTAGGTATAGGGGCCCAAGGACCTGAGCCATCATCCGCTGCTTTCCCAGGTGCATTAGCAGGGAGCTAGATCAGAAGTGGAACATCCAGGACTTGAACCAGAGCCCATGTGGAATGCGGGCGCTTGCTTTACCCACTACACCACAGTGCTAGCCTGATTTTTTTTTTTTTTTTTAAGAAAACTTCTATTTAACAAATGTAAATTTCAAAAGCACAACTTCTGGATTATAGTGATTTCCCTCCTCCCATAACCACCCTCCCTCCCGAAAACCTTCCCATCTCCTACTCCTATCCCATTCTTCATTAAGATTCATTTTTAATTATCTTTAAATACAGAAGATCAATTTAGTATATACTAAGTAAAGATTTCAACAGATTACACCCACACAGACACACAAAGTAGAAAGTACTATTTAAATACTAGTTTTACAGTTAATTTGCTTAGTACAACACATTAAGGACAGAGATCCTACATGGGGAGTTAGTGCACAGTGACTCCTGTTGTTGATTTAACAATTGACTCTCTTATTTATGACGTCAGTAATCACCCAAGGCTCTTGTCATGAGCTGCCAAGGCTATGGAAGCCTCTTGAGTTCGCCAACTCCGGCCATAATCAAAGTGGAAGTTCTCTCCTCCCTTCAGAGAAAGGAGGCCCGTTCTTTCCGCTGAGATCTCACTCACAGAGATCTTTCATTTAGGTCATTTTTTTGCCACAGTATCTTGGCTTTCCATGCCTGAGAAACTCTCATGTTAACCCAATTTTTTAAATTCTTAAACACATTGAATGTTTCTTATACTTTATTGTCCCAGTGTCCTCCTTTAAGTTATCATGAGATATTTTTCAGACTCATGTACATACTGTAAATCCAAAGCAGGACATATTTTGAGCACCTAGTAAAGCCCCTAGCATTATCTTTTGAAGATACAAGTCTTTGTTTATAGCCTCAGTCTTTCAGTTTGTTTCAGATATAAATAGTGGCAATAATATCTATATGAATATTTCTTCCTTCACTTCCTGGAGCCCAGTGCTTTGGAGTAGCAGATAAAGCCGCCACCTGCAGTGCTGGCATCCCATATGGGCACCAGTTCAAGTCCCAGCTGCTCTACTTCCAATCCAGCTCTCTGCTATGGCCTGGGAAAGCAGTAGAAGATGGCCCAAGTCCTTGGCCCCTGCCCCCATGTGGGAGACCTGGAGGAAGCTCCTGGCTCCTGGCTTCAGATTGGCACAGTTCCGGCCATTGCAGCCATTTGGGGAGTGAACCAGCGGATGGAAGACACCTTTCTACCTCTCTCTCTCTCTCTCTCTCTGTGCATAACTCTTTCAAGTAAATAAATCTTAAAAAAAAGATATACTTGATATATTTTTTTAAAAAAAAGTATTTCTTAGTGAATGTTTCACTTTATTATCAAGCCTTTACATTTGAGGTTCTGTCACAGTGTTAACACCTTATTTATGGAATTGTTGTTTCATTAATTTCTAAGATAGTGCCCTGTGGTTAAATTGTCCGTAGTTTTAAGATGTCCTTTTTGCTGTAAATGCCCCTCCTTCACTATCCTGTTGGGTCAAATTCCATTTAAAACTCAATGTTTATGAAACTTGGGTAGGCTAACCTCATCTAGTGTTTTTCTTCATAACAGACTATTCAGGATTTAATGTGCCAGTTTATACCCTATTGACTATGCTTTAAATCTGTCTTATCTCTTCACCTAGAGTATATAATCCTGGAAGGAAACAAGCCATGGTGGTATTAGTTATGAATCTTTATAAATTAGAAGAAAACTGTAGGAAAACAGCCTGTTCTTCATATATACACAGAAGTAGATCTTAACAATGTCACAGTGTTTAGAATGTTTTCTAATTTATGAAACTCCTTGTATAAATTCTTAAGAAAATATTTTGAAAAAACACAAAGGACAAAAATTTTATGTACTTTCATCTGAAAAATGCTTCCATTGAGTAAGGAACAAAATATACAGAAACTAAATATTAAGCTCTCCATCTCTGAACAGTACACCTGTGGATAGGGGAGAATAAATGACTTACCAAGATAACATAGTTCACCATTCTGGGTATCTGGCTCCTGATGTGTTTTCTTAAATATAAAACTCTAAAGTATGCTGATTTGGGTGAGATTATGTAATGAAGTAGTAGTATAGCCAACTTTTCTGGTTTTCTTAGTTTTCTCCTAATTCTTTTTCTTAGTATTGCTCTCTAATATAATATTCTTGAATGAATCAACCACCTTTTTAGAGATGTTTTTGGATAAATTAAGAAACAGAAGGTATATGTAGTATATTTTATGCTAAATTAGACCTTTTGAAATTCACTTGCTCTGTATTTGTAATATCTTACTCTAAAACGTGTATTGTAATTATTATTATTACATGTGCACTAACATTTGTTTTACATTATAGGTAATACAAGAAACTCGATTAAAACAAATTTATACAGCAGAAGAAAAGTATGTGGTGAAAACTTCTTTTTATTCAAACAAACTTATTTCTAGTAATACATCCCTAAAAGTGGCCCAGTTTCTCACTGTCACTGTGGATCTAGAGCAAAGAAGACATTTGGAAGAACAGCTAAAGGTTGGTTAGTTTGATTTGATGTTAGAAAAAAGAACTGTGTTTTGCATATATTAACAATTTTGAATTTCCATAGGAAATTAATAGAAAATTACAGTTGGTGGAATCAGGATTGAGTACCTTACGTGAGACAAACAAGCATCTGGAACACAAAGACAATGAACTTAGACAAAAGAAGAAGGAGCTGCTTGAAAGAAAAACCAGAAAAAGACAACTGGAACAAAAAATCAGTTCCAAACTGGGAAGGTATCTTTTAGATTGTCTGAGGGGAGAGTGTGAAATGCTGTGTGAGACATTGTTAAAGACACCCTCTAGTGACTAGAAAGTTTCTACACACACACACATTTTGTAGTCGTGTTTCTCTCAACTTTATCTGACTGCCCAAACATGATTTTAGTCAGTTTGTCAAAAGGAGATAAATATTATTAAGTATTATGTGTTTTTCGACCGGTGCCGCGGCTCACTAGGCTAATCCTCCGCCTTGCGGCGCCTGCACACCGGGTTCCAGTCCTGGTCGGGGCGCCGGGTTCTGTCCCGGTTGCCCCTCTTCCAGGCCAGCTCTCTGCTGTGGCCCGGGAGTGCAGTGGAGGATGGCCCAAGTGCTTGGGCCCTGCACCCCATGGGAGACCAGTAGAAGCACCTGCCTCCTGCCATTGGATCAGCACAATGCGCCAGCCGCAGCGTGCCGGCCGTGGCGGCCATTGGAGGGTGAACCAACGGCAAAGGAAGACCTTTCTCTCTGTCTCTCTCTCTCACTGTCCACTCTGCCTGTCAAAAAAAAAAAAGTATTATGTGTTTTTCTTTTCTCTTGTCAGCTATTCCAATACTTAGACACCTTTACATGCTTAAAATTATGCAGATCTTAAGAAGTTTTTATATGGATTACATCTATTGCTATTTACCACTTAGAAACTAAAACATTGTTTTAAGTATGAATTTACTTAAAAATAATAAATCTATTGTTAGAATGAAATAGTTATGAAAAATAAATTCCAAATAGAATATAATTAGAAGAGTAGAATTATTTTACACTTTTGCATATCTCTTTAGTTGGAAGTTAGTAGGTTTTTCATATCTGCTTCCGTGTTCAGTCTGTTGTGAGATGTTGTGGTTGAGGTATAATGAAGGATATCTGGCTTCATATAAACATGTGATTGTAAAATGGAGAAATATTTTAATAGACTTTTTAGCTAATTGTGAATATTCTTTAATACTACATCAATACTTGCCAAAGTGTAGTTTGCTAAGGTTTAATTACAGTATGAAATCGTGTCAGTGGATTTGTGTATACTCTGTTAGGTTAAAATCTATTGTACTTTATATTTTTAAAAATATTTATTTATTTATTTGAAAAACTGAGTGACACAGGCAGGGAGAGAGAAAGAGAGAGAGAAAAAGACAGCTTCCATCTGCTGGTTCACTCACCAAATGGCTGTGACATCCAGGTCTGTGCCAGGCCAGACCAGGGAGCCAGGAGCTCCATCCTGGTCTCCCACATGGATGGTAGGGACCACCTTCCACTGCCTTCGCCAGCACATTAACAGGGAGCTGGATCAGAAGCAGAGTTGCCTGGGCTCAAACCGTTGCTCCAGTATATCTCAGTCAGTGGCTTAAACTGCTCTGCCACAATGCTAGCTCCCATTCTACTTTAAATGGGTGGTTTGTTTTTTTTTTTAGTTTTTCTTTTTGAGCAGCAGAGAGACAGAGAGCTCCCATCCACTGATTGACTCCCGAAATGTCCTAAATGGCCAGGGCTGGGTCAGGCTAGAGCCAGGAGCCAGGAGCTCAGTTCAGTTCTCTCATATGTGTAGCAGGGACCCAACCACTTGAGCCATCACCTACTGCCTGCCACAGTGTACAATATCAAGGAACTGAAATTAGAAGCAGAGCAGAGATTGGAATCTGGGCACTTTGTACCAGGACATTTTAACCAGGAGTTTAATTGCTAAGCCAAGCACTAGTCCCTAAATGTATGTTTTACCCATGGGTGGTATTCTTACATCGTGTATTATTTTATTATACATTTTTTAAAGATTTATTTATTTATTTGAAAATCAGAGTTACACAGAGAGAGGAGAGGCAGAAAGAGAGAGGTCTTCCATCCACTGGTTCACTCCCCAGATGGCCACAACAGCTGGAGCTGTGCCAATCTGAAGCCAGGAGCCAGGAGCTTCTTCCAGGTCTCTCATGCGGGTGCAGGGCTCAAAGACTTGGGCCATCTTCTACTGCTTTCCCAGGCCATAGCAGAGAGCTGGATCGGAAGGAAGAACAGCAGCTGGGACAATAACCGGCGCCCATATCAGATGCCAGGCGTTAACCCGCTGTACCACAGTGCCAGCCCCACATTATATAATATTTTTAAAGATAGCAATGATAAATGAGTCCATCAGAAAATTAAATAATTCTGAAGTTGTCAAACTTACAGTGTCAGATAACAAATTTTCTAAAATTCTGGGTTTTATTTGAAAGCTTGAATTTTATCATTGGTATAAACATTAGCTATAATTGAACTGATAGGCTCACTTCATTTTTTTTTTCTTTTTTTTTTTTTGGAAAAAGAAAAATGGTGGTTTTCAGTATATAAAGTCGATTAAAAATGAATCTTAATGAAAAATGGAATGAGAGAGGGAATAAGAGGGCGGGAATGGTGGGAAGACATACTATATTCCTAAAGCTGTACATACAAAATTTGTATTCATTAAATGAAAACCAAAAAAAAAAAAGAGAGAGAGAGAGAGAGAACTATGCACATATTTCAAAATTTGTTTCCACCAAAATAAACTTAATTCCATTTTCCACAAAAAAAAAAAAAGAAAAATGGCCAAATACCCAAATCTGAATAATTAGTTTGTCATTCTTTCAAGTAAAGATAGTATTCCATGAAAAGTGTCTATTACAGCTTCAAACTTATTCAACCAAGTAGTTTTCTTTACTTTCTTTTTTTAAAGATTTTTATTTATTTATTTGAGAGGTAGACTTAAGGAGAGACAGAGAGAAAGGTCTTCCATTTGCTGGTTCACATCCCAAATGGCTGCAATGACCAGAGCTGCACCGATCCGAAGCCAGGAGCCAGGAGCTTCTTCCTGGTCTCTCATGTAGGTGCAGGGGCCCAAGCATTTGGACCATCTTCTACTGCTTTCCCAGGCTGTAGAAGAGAACTGGATTGGAAGAGGAGCAGCTGGACACAAACCAGCGCCCACATGGGATGGCAACGCCACAGACAGAGGCTTATTAGCCTATTACACCACGGCACCGGCCCCCACCAAGTAGTTTTTCTTGAGATAGCTACTGTACTTTTAGCAACAGCACAGATGCTTTATAGGTATTATATACTTCCCATTTTTATCACACTGAGTATTAAAAGACATTTAATGTTTTGAGATTTAATGAAATTCATTCTTTACTGCTTCCTCAAAGGCATTCTGAAATGAATTTGGCATTTTTTAAAAATGAGGAGTCCAGTAACTACTAGTACACTTTGATACCACTATATTTTGATTTGTTCTAAAGTACTGGCCTTTTAATCACCATTGCTTTTGCACTGTCACTGAAGATAAAAAAGCAACCACGGTGAGAATGGACGAAGATGTGTGTTACTCTCATGGAGAATAGTTTTGACCTCACAGATTGCCTTGAAATGATTTTGAAAGGTCCTTAGGGGTTTGTGGACTGCATGTGCATGTCGAGTTTGAAATGGTGAAAGCAGGGAAGCAGGGGGAGATAGAGAAAGATCAGCCAACCTGGCCATTTTGTCACCAGTTCTAGAGGAGAGTGGTAGGGAAAGAGGAAGTTCTGCCGATTTTTGAGTGTAGAGAGCAGAATTTTGAGTGTAGGTATTTTATAGAAACCAGAAGATATGAGATAGGATAAAAGGTGTTAGAGGTTTCTAGGATAGGAAAAGGTAATGACTTCTAGTTTCAAGGTCTTTCCCATATTTGTCATGACACAACTCAGACCTTTTTGTTACTGTTCTTTTAACTTCTTGCCTCTACTATAAAATGGAGATTAGTGACATAATATTTAGTAACAAATGACAGGTAACTGACTTGAATAGATGTGTTTACTTTGGCCTAATACAGTATATGTTACTAAACAGATTATAAAGTTGAATCATGTTTGAAATGTTTTAGGAAAGGCAAATAATTAACTTATTTGAAAACATACTGTAGTTTGCGCATCTTTTTAATCTAGCTTCCTAGAATGGTTTTCAACTTTAAACCTTTCTTTCAGCATTAACCCTTCACTTTGTTCCTCTCTTCACTCTTCTACAAAGCATATAACCTTTTTTGGCAGCTGCTTTCTGGGACCTGTCATCTAACATTAAACTTTCTCCTCATGAAGTAATGTTAATTTTTGCAAGGAAAATGATTTTTCATGCCCGTTACCAGTCCACTATTTTTTTATTTTAGACTAGCTTTCATGATTATTCAGATTCTCGTTTTATTCTGCTCATTCTAACTTACTTCCCTCCCCTCCCCGATATAACCTTCAGATCACTCTACAGCTTCTGTTGAATTTGTTCATTTGTGTTTATTTTTGCATCCATCCCACCCACTCCCACCTTGTAGACAACATATATAGTGGAAAGAGCATGAACTTTCTCCCGTGGTGTTTTGTTAAAAATATCTTACCAGTTAATATCTGCAATGTCATGTAGCTTGCTTAGCATCTCTGAACCTTAGTTTCTTCTTCAAATAGAGAGCATTGGAGCAGGTGTTTAGCAGGGTAGTTAAGGGATTGGTTAGGCTGCCCACACTTCATATCTTAGTACCTGAGTTCAATACTGGGCTCCAGCTCCTGATTCCAGCTACCTGCTAATGCTGATTCTGGGAGGCAGTAGTGATGGCTCAAGTAACTGGGTTCTTGCCACTCGAGTTGGAGAGCAGGATTGTATCCTAGCTCCTGGCTTCTACACAGTCTGGTCCATTCCTGGCTTTTGCAGACATTAGGGGAATGAACTACAGAATGGCGTTTTCTCTCTCTCTCTCTCTCTCTCTCTCTCTCTCTCTCTCTTTCTCTTTCTCTCTCTCTCTCTCTTTCTCTCCCTCCCCATCCATTCCTCCACTCCCTTCTGCTTCTGAAGTAAATCATTCTTTTAAAAAAAGAACGTAATATTAACTTTTTAACTTACTGTATTGTTTTTTTACTTCTGCTTTTTACCTTGTTAGTCAAAAGACTGTGTTTCATACATGTTATTAGTAACAATAGACAAGGCTTACGTTAGGCACAGGCTAGGCACTGTACTGAGTATGTTGCAGTCTTCACCACAACCCCATAAGGGAAATATTATCTGCAGTTTATAGAGGAGGAAACCAAAGCTTAGAAGAGCAGCTGACTTGTCCAGACTGCTGTTAGTGGCAGAGGGGAAATTCAAAGTCATCTTTCTGACTCCTGATCCTGTAACATTAGCACTACCATTAGTTAGAGTAGGCTGGGACCATAATGTATCTCAGCAAATACTTTCAGATCCTGGCTAATTGCTCTATCTGGACAACATTGCTAAATATAGCCCAGAAAACAGCCTTGGACTTAAGGATTTGGGCTCAATCCTGTGTCTAATTCTGAATTGTGTCATTTTTCTTGTCATACAGCTTAAAGCTGATGGAGCAGGATACTTGCAACCTTGAAGAGGAAGAAAGAAAAGCAGCTACCAAAATCAAAGAAATAAATGTTCAAAAAGCAAAACTTGTTACCGAATTAACAAACCTAGTAAAGGTAAGACAAATTTACTTAATTTTAGTCATTTCTTTTTAATTGCAGGTAAGTAAGACAAGATAGTCAATTTTTTGTTTTAAAGATTATTTATTTGAAAGAGTTAACAGAGAGAGAGGGAGAGATGGAACGAGAGATCTCCGTCTGCTGGTTCATTCCTCAAATGGCTGTAATGGCTGGGGCTGTCCCGTCCAGAGCCAGGAGTGAGGAACTTCTTCCTGGCCTACCACGTGTGTGCAGGGCCCAAGCACTTGGGACATCCTCAGCTGCTTTCTCAGGTGAATTAGGAGGGAGCTGAATCAGAAGTAGAACAGCCAGGACACAAATTGGCACCCATATGGGTTGCCAGCATCACATATGGCAGCTTAACCCACTGTGCCACAACACTGGTCCCTGTAAATCAGATCTTTAAAGGGCTTTATTGGAAGGAAGATCATGATGAAGATTTTAATGTTTTAGTTATATATGCAAGAAATTTTTATCATCAGTTTCAGCTTGCAGTTATTTGACATTTTCTTAATAGGTAATAGGTTAAAAACATTCACTAATTCATTCCAGATGACTTTTAAACACATAGGAAAATTCTCTTGTGTGATTGGCCATTGTGGCGCAGCTGGTTAAGCCAGTACTTGGGGCATCTGCATTCCAAACCAGATTGCCACTCCAGTGTCTGAGTCCTGGCTTCTGTGCTTCTGATCTAGCTCACTTCTGATGCATCCTTGGAGGCAGCAGATAGTCTCAAGTACTTGGGCCCCTGACGCTCACTGGGATATCTGGGTGGAATTCTGGGCTCCTGGCTTTAGTTTGTCCCAGCTCTAGCTGTTGGAAGCATCTGGCCAGTAAAACAGCAATGGAAGATAATTCATTCTCTCTCTCTCTCTCTCTCTCTCTCTTTATCTTTCTCTTTTACTCTCGCTCCACCTTTCAAGTAGATAAAAACAAAGTTTCTTTTTAAAATCTGTTTAAAGGACTATATAAGAGAAGTGTCAGTCACAATAGAAAAATGCTGCTTTTCATGGTGTGCGTGATTTATAATTTTATTTTGAAAATAAACTATATTGTTTTTCTTAGCTCTTAAATGTAGATTACTTGAACACTAAACTATTAGGTGTTTTTGTTTCTAGATTTGTACTTCTTTGCATATACAAAAAGTTGATTTAATTCTTCAAAATACTACAGTGATCTCTGAGAAGAACAAATTAGAATCAGATTATATGGCTGCATCTTCACAACTACGTGTCACTGAGGTAAGATTTTACCTTTATTTTTTATTTTGACATTCTAGCCTCTAACTACCTGAAAACTTAATGTCATATATTCTCATTTGTAATATGCAATTTATTATTATATGCTATTGAATTTACAAACTTAGTGCAAGCTACTACTGAGGAAGCAATACTTGAGACACGGGAGAGCAGCTGTATAACCTTGGCAACTTAACCTATTAATATTTGGTTGTGAAATAATAAATATTTGAATAGTGCACAGAGGGGAAAAAGTGTGATAGACCATGTTAACTCAGAACCCAGAAAAGAACTGGCAACGTCATGGTAATGACAGTGGCGTAGTCTTTGAATTTCCAAAATCCTTTTCCTAAAATAGAAGTGCATCTAGCATTGACAACACGAAACCTATGGACAACAAAGGAACAAAAGTGTCAAGGTAACCCTACTGTATACTGCGGTACTACTGTAATGTTGAGCATTCGGAATTACTGGCAGACTCTACAGTTTAAGAACTCAGGCTGCCCTTAATGTGACACCAGCTGCAAATTCCAAAGGCTGCACCACTTGCACTTCTAACCCACTGGCTGTAAATTCAGAGGTTCCCATGACCCTCTCAGGTTCGTAATCCACTAGAACAGCTCAAAACTCAGAAAAAATGCTATACTTAGGGCTAGAGTTTTTTCTAATAAAGGATACAAATTAAGAGTAGTCAAATGAAGAGATATCTAAGAGGAGGTCTTGGAAAATAGTAAACACAAGAGTTTCTGTACCCTTTTCTGTGGAACAGGTGCAACACGCTCCTCATACATCTGTTTGTTCACCAAGAAACTCTACCAAGCTTTATTGCTGAGTTTTTGTTGCAGTTTTATTTCATGGGCGTGGCTGATTGAATCATTGGCTGTGTGGTTGAGCTCAGTCTCCAGTTTCTCCCTCAGATTTTGGCAAGTTTGACGGATTTCATGTGATTTCAAAGATCCAAACCTCTAATCATATGGTTGATCTTTGTGGTGGTACCTCCTGCTATCCTGAGTCATCACCTTAATATAAACTGAGATGTGATCCAAGGGACTCATGAGTGACAAAGGCTCTCACTCAATTCCATCAGTTTTAGAATAAAAGCCAGCTGAATTCTTTATTATGTGACACCTGGGAACTCTAAAATACAGGTGAGTGAGTTAAATCAGCAGCAGCAAGACCAGAGTGGTATCACCAAGAGGATGCTTAGAAAACCCAGATACCAAGTTGCCCATAAAGTTCTCATCTGTAAAGGGAGGAGGCCCCTCATTAAGTATAGAAAGCTCAGCAGACCAATTTGAGAGCAGCTGAAATGAGAAGGCAGCTTTATACACTCCAGGGAATTTGGATAGTGCTGGACTGGTCCAGACTTATAAACTTGCAAATCAACGGAAACTTCTTTGTAGAACAAAGCATCGTGATAACTACAGCCATATGATAGTTTATGGAGACAATAAAATGTGTACTGTGTGGTACTGTGCCTGACAGTATAATAAAAGCACAGTTCTCTGCAAAGTGGAACAAGGGAATCAATAAAAATAAAATAGACTATGTTTGTTGAGTTGCCCTATATGTGTTATGAGGAAATAAAAGAATATTACTTTAGCGGGGCTGATGCTGTGGTGTAGCAGGTAAAGCCACCACCAGCATCCCATATGGGCGCTGGTCCAAGTCCTGGCTGCTCCACTTCTGATCCAGTTCTCTGCTATGGCCTGGAAAAGCAAAGAAGATGGCCCAAGTTCTTGGGTCCCTGCACCCATGTGGAAGACCCTGAAGAAGCTACTGCCTCCTGGCTTCAGATTGGCACAGCCCTATCTATTGCGGCCATTTAGGGAGTGAACCAGTGGATGGAAGACCTTTCTCTCTGTCTCTACTTCTCACTCTCTGTAACTACCTCTCAAATAAATAATTCTTTGAAAATTAAATAGATAAATAGGAATAAAATAGTGCTAAAACTAGGTCAAATAAGCATAAAATGTAATGCTATAATTCATCTTTTATAAAGATTATTCCAAGAAAGATTCAGGGAAAGTGATAACTGTGCCTGTATGTTCATTTACTTAAAAATTACAGTAATAAATTTTTTAAATTGTTCATGAGAGTGGTAGAAGACAAGGTTAAAAGTACATGGCATCTAAACAGATACTGTTATTTTCTACTTCAGAATTATCTGCCAACAAAACACAATTAAATGTTTTAAGACAAACTTTGCATCTAGCTTTGACAGAATAGTTTTACAGAGAAAAATTATTCCAAATGATGGTATTCTAAGCAACTTGACTCATGTGAAAAAATTGCAAAACAAAACAAAACTGGTTCTGTTTTAAGTAATCATAGTGTTAATGTTTGTTAATCTTACTCTGAAAAATGTTATAAAGGAATTAAGTAATTGTGTAATGCCATTAGGGGTTTTAGCATAAAGATTCAGTTGTAAAACAAGTTTTTAACATGAACTGGAAATTTCAGGATGAACCTATAGTATATTTTCTCTAAAAAGATTGAAAAAAACGAAGGTTTTTCCTGTGTCTCTACTGAAAAGATATAGGCAGAGGCTTCTAAATACTGTTTCCCACTAAAAAGACCCATTGGAGAAATGGATGATTACAGGTTCAGGGGAAGAAATGTTTCCATAAGATTAGTCTCATATCATCTTCTCATTCCGTAAGGTAAGGATATTATAAAAGATGACTTGATTATTACTAAAATTCAGGAGGCTTCATGAAAAATCTCTTACTGGTCTTAGATGAAAGGATAACAGGAAATCATCAAAGGTGTCTAAATCCTCAAGTTTATAATGACACTAAAAAAGTTATCAGTCGTTTTAGAAGGTACTAAGGAACCAGCTCATGATTTTGAAAAATAGTAAAAAGCACATTTAGGGGCAAGTGATGTGATATAGCAGGTAAAGCCGCCACTTGTGATGCCAGCATGCCACATGGCTGCTGGTTCGAGTCGCAGCTGCTCCACTTCCAATCCAGCTCTCTGCTAACGGCCTTAGGAAAAGCAGCAGAAGATGGTCCGAGTACTTGTGCCCCTGCCCACCACTTTGGAGACTTGGACGAAGCTCCTGGCTCCTCCTGGCTTTGGTCTGGCCCACCATGGCGATTGCAGCCATCTAGGGTGAAAACCAACAGATGGAAGATCTTCTCTGTGTCTCTCCCTCCCTCTCTCTCTATAACTCTTACTTTCAAATAAAATAAATAAATCTTAAAAAAAAAAAAAAAGAGTACATTTAGTGTAAGCCCAGCCTTTTCAATGTAATTTGTTATTCAGGATAGAAAATAAGTGACAAGAAGGACTTTGTCTATACAGAAGCATTCTGGATATACATGAAGAAGAAATTAGAATATTAGAATGTCACCACTTCTACAGCTGCTCTTGAACAGTGTATCATATTAGCTGCTAACATCACCAAAAAACTATTTATGTGTATCTTTATGAAAGGACACACTTCTGCATATTGAATAATTCATTGAAAAAATAAAATTCCAATCTGAATAAGCCTGTAGAGGATTGTTTTTCAGCCTCAGCATCAGCACTATTTGGGGTAGATAAAATTTGGGGGAAGCTGCTTTGAAACTACCAGCTTCCAGAAAATAAGACAGCAACGTGTATCATGAAATGACACCAGAAGACTGTAGTCAGCAAAATCTAAAATATAAGGAACTCTGTAGGACAAATGATTTACTTAAGCACTGTCTAGTAGAAATATAGTACAAGCCATTTGCATAATTAGAGACTTTCTAGTGGCCAAATTTTAAGAAGCAGAAAGAATTAGATAAAATTAATATCTTTACCTTGATATAATCAAAACATTGTCTCAGCTTATAATCAATATGGAAGAACTATTGAATTATTTTTACATCTCTTTTCTTACTGTATTCTGACTATTTAAAACACATCTCAAAGGACTGGCATTTGGTGTAGCACTTCTGATGCTGCTTAGGAGACCCATATCCAATATCAAAGTACTTGGGTTTAAGTCCCAGCTCTGTACCTGATACGCCAGCTTCCTGATAATGTGCTCTGGGAAGCAGCAGATAATGACCCAAGAAGTTGAGTTCCTGCCACCAGTGAGAATCCTAGTCGACTTTCTGGCTCTCGGTTTCAGTTTAGCCCAGCTCTGGCCACGTGGGCATTTGAAGAGTGAACCTGTGGATGGGAGATGTGTTAAATCAGTTTTGCTACAAATACAATGTTTAGTCAAACATTTTCAAAGTCTTTGTTAAATTTTTAAGGATTATATACTGGTGTGGTTTTAATGATTTGTGATTATTTTAAAACTTCCAGGCCAGCTCTCTGCTGTGGCCAGGGAGTACAGTGGAGGATGGCCCAAGTACTTGGGCCCTGCACCCCATGGGAGACCAGGAGAAGTACCTGGCTCCTGCCATCGGATCAGCGCAGTGCGCCGGCCGCAGCGCGCCGGCCGCAGCGGCCATTGGAGGGTGAACCAATAGCAAAGGAAGACTTTTCTCTCTGTCTGTCTCTTTGTCCACTCTGCCTGTCAAAAAATTTTAAAAAAAGAAAAAACTTACTTTGTGAGTAAAGTTGAACATCTTTTAATTTGATATTTTAATTTGACCCTTGCCTATTTTCTGCTGAACTATGGTCTTTTAGTTTTTATTTGTTAAACTCTTCATTTTATGGAGCATTAAGCCTTTGACTATAATGTAAATTAAAAATTTTATCAAAAATACTAAAATATTAGGTTAAAGTCTTTACCTTTTAGAGATACATAGATATAATATTTTTGAAGGAAATCTGGGATTGTTTTAAAATAATCCAGGAAGGGAGACGTATAGGAGAAGACATTAGATGAGATAATAGTGGTTGTTAGTTGAGGATTGTTAAAGCTTGGTGTTAGGTACATGAAGGTTTTCTCCCATTCTGTTAGTTGTCTATTTACTTTGTTAAGTCTTTTGCTGTGCAGAAGCATCTTAGCTTCATGTAATCTCATTTGTCTATTTTTGCCTTTATTGCCTGTTATTCTGGAGTCTTACCCAAGT